CTCCGAGTATCTTTTATCCTTGTTCTTCACCGAATGTTGAACAAGGATAAAAGATACTCGGAGTTGATAGAGTCGAGTTTTGGAACGCACCCCAGGATGATTAAAATTCATGAAATACGGACTTAATATTAATAGTTAACGCGGCGGGCTCGCCTATCTAGAGAATTGGCGAATCATGGGTCGCAGTCGGCCGTCGGTTGCGCTAGAGCGCCGGTTGCGCGCGCCGTACACTTTGGGTATTCGGCCGTCGGCGTGACGAGAGCGAAGTGCGAACGCGTACCGCGTACGGCGTACGAGAAATAAACAGAGTGCGGCGTGTAGTAGTGGTGGTGGCGAGAGCGCGCGTTTAACAACCATGTCGTCGTCGAACAAGAAGGCCAAGGAGGAAGATCCAGGCTCGGGCGAGGGGGACGCCCGCGATTACGACGTCGAGATACAGAAGACCCTCGAGGAGATCGACGGCTGTCAGAATCAAATCGATGGCCTGAACGAGAAGGCCAGCGACGAGATCCTCGAGGTCGAGAAGAAGTATAACAAGCTGCGCAAGCCCTACTTCCAGAAGCGTAACGACATCATTAAGAGGATACCCAACTTTTGGGTCACCGCTGTATCCTTTTGACCGACGCCGCGCCCATCGTTCCGCGAGTCGACAACGGGAGATCGGCGCACGGCGTGCGCGACCTTTTGACGTTTCTCGGCGGGGCCGGCGTCCACCGGCGACCGCCGCCATCTTACCTACTTGTGTACGTGCGTGAGCGTCAGTGAGCGTGTGTAACCGCGTAGACGATCACGCATTTTATGATTATGCTTTTTCTATCACTTGCCGAATTAACGTCACACTCTCGGAGGATTTGCGCCGTGCCGTTGTCAGCTCGCGAAAACGCGACGATATGTCAGTCTTTCAATATTTCATGTAAGCAATAAATTAGTAACTCCCAAGTGTATAGAGATCAAATTCTGAATGTTTCTAAATTAGAATTATTTAGCTCCAATTTTGAATCTTTCATGAATTGTTTCGAATTAAAATAGCATTCATTATTGTTATTAACGATTATTATTTATGTAAAAATATTGATTCGTATTAATTCGTATTTTTCCTTATAAGAAGTTCAGTTTGTAAACAACAAAGAAATAGCCGAAATATTAGAAGAAGACGAGGAAGATGCATTGAGATTCTTAAACAAATTAGAAGTTGAAGAATTCGAAGATATCAAATCTGGCTATAGGATTAATTTTTATTTTGATGAGAATCCATATTTTGAAAATGATGTTTTAACTAAGGAATTTCATCTAGGATCTTCTGGTGAGCACGTTTGTTGTCAGCATTCTGCTATTAAATCAATAATATATAGAAAACTATGATTCTGTTATAATTTAAATAAAAAACAATATACAGATATGATATAATTCAATTGAGTGTCATAGTTGCGATGAATCTCCTGCTGTTTTGCAGGAGATCCAGCATCTCAAAGTACATCTATTCGTTGGAAAGATGGTGCGGATTTAACAAAAAAAGCAAAAACCAAAGCACCACTGAAAGGACGTAAGAGGCCACTCAAGCACAGATCATTTTTTGATTGGTTTACGGATCACGGAGATCCAAGCTCAGATGAGATAGCTGAACTTATTAAAGATGATATGTGGCCTAATCCATTGCAGGTAAATACTATTCTCTGAAACTTACAGAGTACTTACTCTTAAAAATTGAAAATTAAGCCACTCTTTTTTAAGACTGGCTCCATTTTCACCTTTTAGAGTGAAACTCCAAAGAATTTAGAGAGAACTTTAAAGATACATTTAAATGTGGATGTGTCAGTGTCAGAAAGTATTAATACTTTATTTATATATACAATACATGTACTATAATACCTCATTCATTACCATTTGATGGGTTCTAGTATTACCTGGCTCCAGATATGGAAGTTGAAAATGGTATTGAGGGCGACGGTGAAGAATGTGAAAGCGAAGAGGAGGATGAAGAGGAAGATGGTGCGGATGAAGGTGATGAAGGAGCAGAAGGAGAAGAGGGAGATGACAGTATAGTGGTAGTCGAGGATGATGTTGATGAAGATGATGATGAGGACGAGGCTGTGAATGATGAAGATGATGGTGTCAATGAAGAGGATGATCTATTGGACGATGAAGGAGATCGTGAAGGTAAGTGTTAAAACTAATGCTTGCGTATTATTGTATGATATGCTTGATGCTATACAGAGGTCATTTTAATTGTTACAGAGGGAGAAGAACCTATATAAAGTTGGAGTTTGGTTTCTGACATCATACAAATGTGAAAAGAAAAAAAGAAAGAAAAATGAATGAAATTTTGTGCACCGAATCAATCAAGAGCAGATAGTTTAGTGGACTGAAAACAATATGCCATATGAATAAATCTCAGGACACATTTTTTTCTGAATATACGAAAATAGAGAAGCAGAATTTAGAAGATCTAGACTCTTTCGATTGAGAACCTGTGTATAAAAATACAGCATTTGTTAAGATATATTGAAAGTGGTTTGAAAGGAAAGAGTCTGGATTAAATTAGATAGGTTCTACCATTGCACTAAATCTGTCTCAAAACATAAGACAAATTCCTCAGTTATATTCATATGGCCTAGTCGTCGTTCCCTTTATAAAATAATGTCCGCTTGGTTCTCAATATCGCGGATTTTATGAATAAGTTAGGATAAAATAGAACGAGGCATTAGATGGAGAGTTCCATTTGTTTTCTTATAAAAATTATTCTTTAGATGACTTCCAGAACGAGGTGTCTTAAATAGAATTTTTGAGAGTGACGACTATACTTTCCGCACATGAAATACACGGACTTTTACACCATTGTCTTATTACTTTTGAATAAAACACGTAGAATAAAGATTTTATTCTTTGCTACGATTTGAATATTTTTTTTACAATCACACATATTGTCTATTACTACTCTGGAAACTGTAGTGATAAAAAATTTTTAATGTCTCTTGGTGATTGTTACTAACTTATTTAATTTATATCACTGCAGACTGTATTTGTATTTTATCTGATGGTTTTTAAATATAATCTTATACTAACAGAGATATAATGAGAAATGTTCGTATCCCGTTTATAAGTTACATATTAAAAATTTATACTATGCATATTACTATGACATAGCTGATAGTATATGATTTTGGCTACATCATCATGTTATAATGTTGCCTCCAATAAACGCATAGATATTGTATATTCATGTATTATTATAGAACTTAATATTTTAGTTTAAATTTTACAAACCGATTATCACATTCTATCGATATAGCGAGATATGTTGCTACACTCAAGAAATGATGTACAATTTTTGATAAAAAATTACAAGGTAAAATTGTGTATTTTATTACTTATGCGGATAAACGAGAATGTGTGCTCTGTATCGAAATCCATTTCGATTAGCATTAATTCTCTGTTGGATTACAATCGTCTAAAGAATTTGAGTTTAGTTTTTAATCATAATATTCATAACTTGTCACACTCAGAAAGATATACTTTCATCTTATCACACCTCGTTCACGTTCTTCCACACCCCGTATCACGATTTACTCATATGAAGTAAATGTTTCGCGAATATTTCTTACATTTGATACATTATGTACTTCTAACGATAATTTCACTTTACGAGATTCTTGTATTATATGGCAAAGGTGAAATCAATATACAAAATTATGACGATCATCACTATTACGTCTTTTATGGTCGGCATTAATAGAGAAGAAATAAGACAAGTTCTCGGTTACACATTCGCATCAGTAAACAGAATCTCGTTAGTTACTCTACATTCGAAGCCTAGAATGAAACAAGTAATTACTATACTCTCGAATAGGAAGCGCTCGTAGTCGATTTAATAAGATAAGCTGTAATTGTCTAATTTTAGAATAAAGTACAACAGCGATATTTTTAAATTAAGGCTATATATATTCTCGTGTTGTTTTCAGATACGGTTCTGTCAGTATTTATTAGATTAATACGTGTTACCGCTAACATGTGTGAAAAAAGGAAATATTGTCAAAATTATAGAAATGATAAGACCAATAAGATTCGTATTTTATCATTAGACACTTGTGTGTTTATATATTACATTTATTGATACCTATTGATTCGATTCGTTATGTCTTATGTGAGAAAGGATATTATAATTATCTGGCTCCTTTGGAAAGCGGCGAGTTGTAATAAATTTTTTAGTATTGCATTGCATTCTTTCACGGAGATACTGTGCGAAACTCCTTTTTTTATCGCATGAGGAATAAATATGTCAGCGAAGATGAAACGCGAGGACACGAGAATCAAGTGTAAACCTTCCCATCAAACGATGTGTCCGTGTTACGCAATGACGTAACAGATCAATCGAATAAAATTGCCAGTTTGAGATACAAAGTTTGAGTTTTTATATTGTCCATTAGTCTCGTCGATACACGTGCACGATATCGCTATTATCGAACAATATTTAATTATATTGTCGCAGTGTAATTCGCAGTGATAATTAGATAGTTAAACAGCTCTTCGGGATAATTTTTTAATGTCATAAAAGTTTCAAAGATCAGTAGCTTGCAAAACTAGCAAGGAGAGAACACAATGCATTGTGTTCACGGATTTTAATCTTCAGTATGATGAATCTACATCAAAAATAAATTGTGCCGTGTCTGAGCGTTTTGTTGAATGGGTCTTGTATATATATTTAGTATTTTTCTAACGTATGATAAGACCCTGTACTAATTATATGGAATCTTTGGATCTCGATGTAATGAATTAATTTACATATATAATGTAGCTTATAGCGAATGAAAGATATCGTAAACGCAAAGCTCAATAATGGATAGTTTTTAGTTACGCTGTATCAAAGGTATAAAACTTATGCTCATGCATCTTTGATACACCACAGCTCAGAAATTATCCATTACTAAACTTTGCATCTATGATATGTTTTATTCGTTAAACATAAACTACATTATAAATGAAAATTATAGATATTAACTCATTAATCGAGATTTAATTTTCCATATAATTAATCCTCCGTGGTCCAACTGAAGCTTTGAAGACCCAGGTAAATTTTCAAATTTGAATTTATTCTACCTTAAATTTAGACACGTACAAAAAAGTGAAAAATATTTCGGGTCATATCATTGTAAAATCGTATTTTTTAGTTTGAAAGTTAGAAGAGTACCAGGATCTTCCCAAATTTTTTAGAGCCCAAAAATATTTTGAAAGATACAATAAGAGTGACCCGGTTGGATTAGAAAAACAGTGAAAACGTTGGATGACGAAGGATTAATGCATACATTAAAAATACTATTTGCAAGGTCCATTCAACAAAAATATTCGAATGGCACGATTTATTTTCAATGTAGATTCATTATGCTAAAAGAGATCAAAATCCTGAAGAACCTATCGTGTCCTCTTCTTATAAAATTTTTTAATGCTTTGTTTTTCGAGATTATCATCGTTAAATTCGTGGGAGTCACGATCATGGCTGTCATCGGTCGAAACACGGAACAGGAAGCGACCGACCAAATAAACTTATCCCCTATGAAGCGCGTTAACCGCATCTCCTTTTTTTCCTTTCTCAGCGGATTGTCAAATTCTTCGCTTTTTTTACATAGACACGCGTGATCACACAGCGTCGTCGCTCGTTCGCTCTATTACGAGCAGACCGAGCACATGCAGACCGCGGCAAAAAAGCACCACTTTAGACCCAAAGATGTGGCTTTGTAAGACGCTGACGGCGAACCTCGAGGATGATGCGTGTGTTACTGACGGCTTCTGAATTACGCGAGATTTTTTTCATAATGCGCGACTCTGTGACCCCAGGGTGTTACATACGTGTCACAGTCAGCATCAATATCGTTTATTGCTACGATCACGATAGCGGGCGATACTCTGCAACGGAGAATTTAGAAGATCAAATTTATAAGTCAATATGTCTTGGAAATAAAATCGCTAACGTTAAATAGCTATATAATGCATAATTTTTTTAAGCTTTTCTCCTGATAAATCCTTAATTCTAACGGCGTAAAAATTTTATAAAATTTCTCGATATCTGAAGAGAACGGAGTTAGGAAAAATCTCATTACAGATTTCTCGTTAATAGCATACAAGTAATGACCCTTTTCATAAATAACAATTTGTACACATTATAAATTTTCCCTGGTTGAGATTTGGAGGCAACTGGCGCCTGATGGATGGTACGAAATTTCGCGCTACAAGGGGGCCACTGTTGAACGAGTCTCCGCAAAAAAAGCTGCTTTGTGCCGCGGCCTGGAGGAGCAGAAGCTGCGGAAGAAGTCACGAGGATGGTAAAGAACTCGAAGAATAAGCCGTGAAGCTGCCTTATACTCATTGACGGATTCAGAAATTTGTCAAGGAGCGGGCCATTTTGACGGTGCCGCAAGCAATATTTTTTTTAAAGGTCAAATATGAAAAAGACAATGTTAAATTATTATTTAAATTATTACACTAAAAAAATGTTATATTAAATGTATAATTCGTAAAACACTTTATTTAAAATTATATTAACACAAAAAATATAACAGAATCTATGATTTTTATATCTAAGAGATTCTTAAATTAAAAGTATTTTGAAATATTAAAATATATTTAAAAAATATATAACTTTGATGAAAATATTTTTAAAAAAGGAGTCTCCTCAAGGGGAGTTATGGCTCTCTGTGCTTGTGCTTGAGTTTGCTTATCCAAGGAATAATGCCACATTGATTGAATCATTAAAAAAATGGCATAAATTCGATCAATAATCGGTCAATATGACCATCAAATTGACATTATTTTAACTGTCTTGTTCTTCTTGGATATAAAAGTTTAAACGAACATATATCTATTTATCGAGAAATGATTGTGACAAAGACAAAATATAATTTAAAGTACATAAGATTGATTGTTAATATTTTTTTAGCAATAATTACACTCGAAATTGTATTTATTTGTAATAAAGTTTTTAATTGATATTTGGAGCTTCGTGATGATTTCTATCAAGTCGCAAATGATATGCCGACGATTTTGAAGATTATCGCGCTGGTTTGCCTCCGTTTCTGCTCGAATCGCGTTATTAATCAACACACGGAGTCTGCGAGCGTATCACGCGTATTCTCGTATCTAATGAGACAGTGAGAAAAAGAGAGAGTGAGAGGAAAGGACGGTAGACTTGTCGTACTACGCAACAGTGTGTTGCGAGTAGAAGGAGGGAGGTTGAGGACAAAGGGTAGAAAGAGAGGCCTGGGACCTGCGAGGGAGATGTATAAAGGTGCAGATGA